GCTCAGAGAGAGTACAGGCAACTGTGACCCAGTTCAGGGAAAAGGTCCAGGACTCACTTAAAGAAAGGAGCAGGCCTTTCAGTGAATCCCCTCCTTTTTCCTTCACACTCCATCTCATCACAACTCAAAGCTTGGAGAACTTTGCAAAATGAAGCACACTGCCCCCTCCTTCCAACTACCCTTTTATAGTCAGACTACAATCCTTATTCCAAAAATAAATCAGCCTGATGAGAGGCCAGAAAAAGGAAAGCTTAATAGTTTTATCCTTTCATTATTTAGTTATGGGACCTTAGTTGGACAGATTTATTATCACGTTTTTACAAATTCCCCTGCAAATAAATAATTCTAGGATATGCCCAAATTACTCTGGCCTCTTGACCCAACACGTTTTTGTAATTACTTGGCACTCCAACTGTACGCTACTTAAATTAGGTAACAGTCACCAAGTTATTTTTAGGCCATAGCAACACACACACACACACACACACACACACTCACTCACTCTAACCTGCTTGTTATTTGTACTCCTTTGGTAGAGGAGCCAAAATTGCCTTTTTATTGGTACCATCATTTCTGTTGAACCAACAGCAATAATAATATTAAGCTACTTTGAGTAGTTACCAGATACATATGAGGAACTGTTCTAGACACTTTGCACACATTGCTTCATTTAATTCCTAAACTAACACTATGAGCTAGCTACTGTTGCATCCTCTTTTTGTAAATGAGGATATTAAGGAAGTAAGGGATTAAGCAATTTGCCCAAGGGCACATAGTTAGTAAGAGGAGAACAGAGACCAGAACTCAGACAGACTGGATCCAAAGTCCTGCCTGAATTTCTCCATCATTTGCTACAAGGCTAACGTTTGCCACGTTTGAACAGTGGCCCAGAAGAACAACAGTAAGTTTGTGAATATAGACATGGCTTTGTTTCACATATCTTAAAAAATCCTCATAACATCCCTGAGAGAAAAGAGAAAACTTGTGTTTCCCCCCACAAAACAAAGCAGAAACAGAAAGAACATTTTCACAGGGTCTCTGATTTCTGAGCATAGTCATTCACTTTGTCATCAAACTCAATATGGCCTACATGTGTTTACTTCAGGATCCCTTTTGATGACGGAAAAATGTGCAGTGTGTGGTGCTTATTTCTCAGGAGTTGTGATGGAAAGTTTGATAGTATAAAAACTCAACTCCCTATGCTATCAAATTTTCCCTATGTGTCAGCCTCCTGAAGCGATTCTCTCTCCTCCCCCTGCTCCTCAGTAAGTGCCTCTGGTAACAGAGGCCAGCCCGTGAGAGACTGAAGCAGTCAGCCAGTCTTTCTTTTATGACAGCACAGAGTGAGTACAGGCATGCACCATGACATATTCACATGGAAGGGGGAGTTATGGACCCCTAAGAAGGCACCTAGAGCCCTCCCACTTGGAGGGCGAGATCCTTCTCTATAGACCTGATAGCTAGCTAGTCAAAGTAGAATCCTAAGTTTGAAAAACTCTCAAAAATGAGTAATTGACAACTGAAGCATTTAGGAATGAAAATCTTGTCTCTACTATCCTCTAAAATATTACCAGCCTTATTAACTTTAAAACACTGTCTAACGTGAAACATTTAAATAAATTAAAACGTCATCTATACTATAAAATATTTCAACAAGCAAAAAAGGAAGAGAAAGCACATAGGGAAAATATTAGTAATTGTTTAATGTTATTATCTTATTGTTTAATCTGGGTGATAGGTATATGGGTGCCCATTATAGTCTTTTCTACTTTTCTACATATTTGAAAATTTTTAGAATAAAATTTTTAAAGGCGTAGACGATCTTTAAGGAGGAGGCAGCAGGAGACTTTCCTTTCCTAGATAGGTAAATGACAAATTATTTCCCTGAACTCAGCCTTGCTGAAAAGAAAGGGAGCTTTATAAACATCATAGTAAAAATGGTAGCTGTCATCGTAGAAGGCCCGGAATTGTCTAGCCTTCTTATTTAGTTTGGTCAGGAGTCAATTTTGGTTAAAAATCAACTTTGGGTAAAACAGATTTTAATTCTTTCAACGACTTTGCAAATCCCTAGATATTTATGTATTTGAATCATTTTTGTCAGGTTGAGTAGAAGCGAACGTCTGATGCCATTTATTCTGCAGAAGATGAGAATAGAATATGGATTCAGACATAGGTCACAACAGCGAGGGGACTGTAAATTAGAACAGTAACTTAATCCCAGGGGCCTCTGCGCCTCTGATCAGTTTCTTCCCAACCTGACACAGCATTACTAAAACAGTAACTGAGCAGCCGTTCTACTTGACAGGCAGCACCAAAAATGGAGAACGTGGCATTGAAACAGGGGGACTTACAACTTGGACAAGGAGGGTAGCAACCAGTGTTTACAAACATAAACCACAGAATCAGATGGGCCAGCCATAAATTACCTGAGATTGTACTGAAATCTCTGAAAATACATTAATGAGGCCTTAGAAGTTTCTGCCTTCTATTCTAACTATCCCCACCACCATATCTTCCCTGCAAAAATCATTCACTCCAAAATGGTACCACTACCACTCTTGCTAAAATAAAACCTTACATCACCAAGGGAGGGATTTACTAAAATAAACCCCAGCAGAGAAGCCAGACCAAAATGGTCTGCTTGACCCCCTCAAGAACCTGGGAGAAGTTTCTGGTCATGCCTTCTGAGAGATCCCCACCCCATTATTCACCTCTTTGGTGAATAATAGTTTACGCAGATGAAAGGGTAGCTAGGGGCATTCTAATACTGATCTCTTTCCCATCTTGGTCCCAATTTTAGGCCATTTCCCCAAAAGGACCAAAATAATAAGCACGATAATAATCAAGAAGGTAGATTACAGACCCTTTTGCTCCTCAACTACATATTTTCAACCAAATTCCCAGATATTTGAAGAAAAAGCCCCAAAAGCTACAAACAATCCAACCTCTACCACGAGCGCGTCTTCCAGGTCGACCGCCGCTGTGTCTCACCAACACGAAAATGACGAGCCCTCACGGTGGCCGCCCAGGGCGCCCAGTGGTGAGGTCAGCAGCATGTCCAGCCCCGCCCCATTGAGGCAATCTTACTCACTGACACTGAGGAACAAGCCCAGACTGCCCAGACTCTCAGCTGCATCCACAGGAAAGGGGGAGAGGAACCCCACTTTCTTCAGTAGGATCCAGGAGATTCATTTCTCAGTGATTGACAGGCCACTCCCATACACAACAATGCCCACTGCAAAATAGAGGGTAGGATCTACTGCTCTTCCTAACCACCCTCATGTTCAAGTCCAGGGTCTTCTTAATTTGCATTGTTTGATGCCTGTCCTCATATCATGCAGACACAAAAGGCCCCCTTTTTCTCAACAATATCTCTATATGAGCAAAGAGATAACCATCAAGACCACTGGCTGCCGCCTCTGTTTGCTCCTAAGACAAATACTACAAATGGGAAATTTGTAGATTGTATTGTCTCAGCCAAAATAGACGAGATAAGCCAAGATCACAGTGAGAGAACACTAGCTAGGTAAACCTACTGGGAATCACTCAAAGTCAACCACACAAGAATATAAAGCAATCAAATACAGAGCTACACAGAACTCTGAACATATCTGTAACCCCAAGAAAACCCATCAACAACAACAAAAAATGCCTGGGAACTGCTAGAACTCTCTGAATACGACCTCCATGATGTTCTCCTTCCCAATGGAGCCCAGTGACCTTAGGGAAAGTGGTGCCTTTGTGGTAGTTAAGTCCAGTGAAAACAGGCTTGAGAAGAGACGTGGAGGATGGGAAGGGGAATTATATTAAAGGAATTTAGAACCACATTTCCAAGAATACAACCTAACAAAAGGCAGAATGCATCACTGGGAAGACAAGAAGGAGAATGGCAGAGATGTCTGCTCACCCCAATGGCCTGTTGCAATTTAAATGTGCAAGGTGTTCAAAGGAACCCAGCGACACCTTTGGTCAACACACTTCAGGAGAATGGCTGGTGATGTGGCCCAGGCTGTGTACCTTGGCTCAAAATGCAAAAGAAGAAAGAAGATGACAATCTCTCACTGCCACCACCACCGGACAGAAGACACCAAAGAAGAAGAGTGATGTACTGTGCCCCCAGAGAGCAGTATCTGAGAGCAAAGAGGTACAACTGATGGACACGAGATGAGGGCCCCCCTGCTAGGTTAGGCAACAACGTGTGGGTAATTAATTCTTCCTCCCAGGGCTCAGCAACACTTATCTAAGAGTCATTCTGTGCCCAATATTCTGGGGTAAGTGACCCACCACCCTATCTTGGGGGGATCTACGTTGCCAAAGGTTGTCAGGTGAGGCCAGAAGGAACAATGCATTGGGGAGTATTTCATAAAAATGACTCTGTCCCCTTGGAGCTTTGGCAAAGGATGGATGTTTTTGGTGAATTTACACTTTCTGTGGGGCCTTACAATATGGATCTCTGACCTTCGTGAAGGTCACTTTAATAAACCATTTAAAATCCAAGCTGATGAGAGAAGTGAGAAAGAGGAAGAATTTCCCACAAAAAGAACTGGTACCTGGAGGCTTACTCGTAGTTCACCACAGTTGCCGCTTCCTCTGTTCCATCAACTTTGGTTAAGTCTGAGAGACAGTAACTTTCCAACTAGCTATTGAATGGAGTAGAGCTACTAGACCAAGCATGACATGAGATACCAGCTGGTGTTATAAAGCCCCTTTTTAGAAAGATGAGAAAATAGTTTCAGAGAGGTGAAATGACTTGCACAATGCAAATTAGAAGGTGCATCAAGACTAGAACCCAAATCTTCTGGCTTCCAGTTCAAGGTTGCTGGGTTTCTCTCACTATACCAAAATAATTAAGTAAGGGCATGGAAGGAAAGACAAAAAGAGGAAAGTCTACTTTAGTCTTTTGTAGCCAGGATAAGGAGAATGCTGGTACTTCTAAGAGAAAACCCAAAGCGACCCCAGGCTAGTCAGGACTGTGCTTGGGAAGGGAGCAGGGGCATTACCTTTCAACACCAGAGGTTCTTTGCCTTCTCTCTTCAGGGACTCGAGGACTATGTGAAGTGGCTGGGAGGGCATCACTCGGCTCGGCTCATTGGTATTCTCATCATAAACTATAATTTCTTTGGAAAAGATCCTCTTGAAAGAGTCCTTGCCTTCCCTACAGGAAATCAAGTCTAAGACAGTGATCTTGCCCTGTTGCAGTCTCCGCCGGCTGATCTTATCTGCACAGTTAATGTGGACAGCTCCTTGGATGTGACTCTTGTTGTACTCCATGAAGGGCCTGCAGTCAATGATGACAGGGCCCTGGCTTGGCAGGTGACTCTTGCTGCATTTGGTCATCTTCTTCGCCAAGTCATTGGGGTAGATTATTTTGATGCTGGCTAGCTGCTTGGGGGTTCCTGACACAGGGCTGCCCACCCCACCTGATGGACTTAAAGAGCCTGCATTCTCATTGTTGTTGACCATCTGGTTGGCAGGGCAGGTGGTAGAGGTTCCGATGGCGGTGGTGGCGGTGCCAGCGGCAATGGCTTGGGTTTGGGTCTGATTGTCCTTGTCGTAGGTTGCCACAGTGCAGCAGCTGGCACTGCTGCATCCACAATTCAGGGAGCGGGCAGAGCCGCTGGATGAGGGCATATACGTCAGATTCGCAGCCTTTAGGGACACAACGGTGGTGGCGATGACAGGAGAGTGGCTGTTACTGCCTGGGGCGGCAGAGCCAAGGTAGCTAGAGTCTAAACAAAGGTTGAGATCCTGAGGTCGGACGGGCCTAGACAGTGCCACTACTACCCTGTCGTCTAAGGGAGACGGAGGCATGAGGAGGCTGAAAACTGGCAATTCAAGAAGAACTCAAGACAGTCTGTAAAGAAGGGGAGGGGGAAAGAAAGAATAAAGTCACGTGACACAAAAGGCAGTCTAATCCAATCCCTAGGAAAGGCCTTTGCATCCCTCTGAGCAAAGTCGTCCTAAGTGCCCTTTCTCATGACGTGTGCAAAGCCTGAAGCTCATTTTTCCAGATTCAAAGAGGATGTAAACCTGAGGCCACCCGTCTATGTGGTTGCTAAGTCCAAGGTTAAATGCATAGTCTATGCAAATATTGACGAACAACGTTTCATGGACCTACATCAAAGTTCAGCCTTAGAGAAGCTAAAAACACAAAGAATTAGAAAAGCTGAAGACAATACGGAAGGCTCTTAAGAGGCATCTGTTCTGGGCCTCATCTCCTGGGCAGAAGTATACTGCAACCATCTGAGAAAGACCCATTTGTCCACCCTTGCATACTCTCCGTTTAACTCTTTCACCCACTGCAAAGGCAGAGGAATGACCAAGAGTGCTGGCATGGCTCACAGAAATACACAGCAGCTAAATATACATCAGGGGTGGATGTCAACTTTCTGCAAATCAGAATGAAAGTATCCCCTAAGCGAATCTCTTTAACTAGGAGCTATTCTTGTTTTCCATTCTACCGACTCCTTTGAAAAGCATAGTCATATTAAAACCTCCCATGTTTCCTATTAGGCTCTTATAAATTAATCTACAGTTCCCCTTTCATTACAAACTGGTGTCCTAAAACAAAGCCTCAAGTCAAGGAGCCAGGTCTGGAAACCCCAACCCTGGCAGATCCATCACCCTTAGTTCCCTGGCTCTTCTCGCCACCACCCCCCCCCCCCCCCACCTCCTGCCTTTAAGGAAAGGACCACTTCGACTCTCCCCCCTTCTCCATTTCTCTACTGGCATAGACTATGCAGCCTAGAGCTTCTCACAACGGGAAGCAGCCACCGTGCATAATATTTCAATCCCACACAGATATCCCCCCTCTTATAAGCGGATGGGTTCCATAAAGAAGACTTCTCAATTAGCCCGTCCCTGTTAAAGGGGGCAGTGAAGCGTTGCCCACAGGGTCTACCTCCTGCCTCATGAGAGAGCGCCTGCAAAGAGACAATTCCTTCCTCCCTGTAGGCACAGGGGCACTCTACAACCCGCCCCCTGGCTCCTGTCCTATTAGACAAGCACACAGAAAAGAAACCAAACCCCATGCAAGAGTCGCTCACCTAAAAGAACTTTAAGAGATGTCTGGAAAAATGTCATCTATCACCCGTCTACACGCGACCGTCACCATTCTCTGACATAGAGCCAAAGTGTCACGGGCAGAATCCACACACAGGCGCGCGCACACACGCACACCCAGAGGGGCACGCACCCATCGCGTCCCCAGATCCCCACCGACTCAGGTTTCTCTCACCCACCTTTAGATGGGAGCGAAGGGTCCAATCCCTTCCCTCCTTCCCTTCCTCCTTTCCTCCTTCCCTTGCGTAGTATTTTTTGAAGAGCAAGTACTATTCCAGAAGCTATAACTGTTTCCCAGCTGGACCAAGCGGTGAAGTCTTTGCTATTGTGTTACCTGGTAGGGTACGTCCCAGGATCAACAGTCGTTTTCCTTGGAGAGGGACACAAAAGCGTGTTCACGGAGACACAAGCTGGGACCCCCACTTCCACACGGCGTGCGCGGCTCACACACAGACACACACACACGCACGGAGTGTGTAACGAGATCTGCATCCCTGCAGTAGAGGGTCGGGCGTATATATTGCCCGTGAAACCATCCAGACTGGCCCAGGAAACCTTTCAGAGAAATACTGAGCTATCCCACCCCTCAGTAGTCCTCCTTCCACCTCCAGACAGGGGCTGGAAAGAAAATTAAGTGGTTAGAGAATGCTCCTTCCCCACTCCTGGGGCACTTAACATCCCCCTTCGCAACATAGCGCACTAACAAGCCCCAGGCATTTAAAACTGCCGCAAAGGATCCCAACAAACCTCATTTTTTCTTCGTCCCAAATCCAAATAGACTGCAGAGAGAGTACACGCACAGGGCAGCGTGAGCCAACAGTCTGAACCCTGTAACCTCACCTGCTGTGGCTCCCCCGTAAGCATCGCAACACACACACACACACACACACACTCACAGTCACTCTGCCTTACACTCTCCGACTCTCAAAAGTAGTCGCAGTGACTTCTACTTACTTCATAAATAAGTGTAGCCCTCCACCATTTGGCGCTCCGCTTCAGCTATGGATTCGCGCATTCAGCCCCCATTCACTTGGCTTCATTGATCTCCAGCAGCAACATAGTTACTTTCTCTTTTGCTACACTGTAAATGTAAGGTTCTGAGGGGGCGGGCCGGCTGCCGACCGACGGTGCGCTGGACCAATAGGAATCCGGAGAAAGCTGACCGCTACCTCACAGCAGCCCACGGCCAATGGGCAGCAGGAGGGGGAGGAGCCGGGGGCGTGGCCTCGTCTCTTTAAGGAGGGTTTATCCGACGCCGCTTTGGATCCTCAGTGTTATAACACGGGAGGTGATGTCATTGGCAACCAATCAAAAACTTAAAAGGGCCAGCCGGGGCCCGCGCGGAGCAGCTGCTCTCTATTTACATGTAAACCGAACCGGCAGGATGCAGTTAACCCTTTCCGGGGCTGAATTGTCAATGGGCTGGACTCGCCGCTCTGGCTGAAAATGGCTTTGCCCACTTGACGGGACCCTCCTACCTTCCCTCCCCCGGGGACAGACCACGCTACTCTTTATTTTTCCTTCTTACTCTGGACGGATGATCAAAAGTGTCGGGGTAACTTTCTAAAGGCAGGACACGACGAGAATAATCATTGTCCCCAGTAGGAAAACTGGGTTCTCCGAGTCGCTCGAGCTGACTTAAACTGTAACCCAAGATTCGCGGACGTCGGTGAGCCGCCTGCGCTGGGACCGACGCGAGCGCACAGCCAGGGGCGTCGCTTCTTCTCCGGCCCGCGGCCCCGGGCCACGCGCAGGGGGCCCGGGCTCCGGCGCAGCTGGCGAGCGGGCTGGCGGTCCCTGGGCGGGGAGGCTCTCCCAGCCCCGCCGCGGCCCGCGTCCTCGGGACCGCCCTGCTCGGCCCCGCGCCGCCGGGAAGCGGCGGCCGCCCGCCCGCAGATGTCGCTGCCCCTCTGGCTGCCATGCTGCTACCCGGCGCGGCGCCCTCTGGCTCTCCTACATCTGCGCCCCGGTCACGCCCCCGCTTTCCCCGCCGGCTTCCCGGGGCTCGACCTGGAGCACGAAGGCAGCGCTGCCGCGGAGGGCTGCTCGGAGGCGGCGGTCGCGGCCCAGGCCTGAAGCTACAGGGGGCGCACCCCGAGCGGCCGCAAGGGCTCCAGCCCACGGGGCGGGACGTCCTGGGGCTCGCTGCGCGCTCGCCACGCCCCGGGGCCCGGCCTCTGCCAGCCCGCGCCCCAGCTCCCGTCTGGTGCGCAGGGTCCCGGCGCCGCATCCGCTGTACCACGTAGAGCTTCGCGCCCGGGCAGTGGCCCGCCACCCCGCATGGCCCCCGGCGAGCGAGGACGGCCAGCCCCGCGCTTCTGGAACAGCCGCGGCTGCAGGAAGGAGCCGAGCTGAGCGTAAATAACCAGGAGTGTGGCCGGCGGAGCGTGGAGGGGGCGGCCCCGCCCCTCTGGGTTCTCCAGCCTCGCGCTGTCTGCCGAGTCGCTGGCGGGGCGCGCATCGAGGAGAGTGCGGGGCGAGGCCAGCCGGCCTGCGCTTGGTCAGGAAAACTTCGGGACTGCGGGAAAGTTGTCTTGGGGTACGAAAGGGAGTGGAGAAGCCGAGATGAACTTCGGACAGTGCGCATCCAAGAACCCTAAGGAAACACAGTAGAGCTTTTCCCTTTTCCCCCTCTCCTGTCTCAGAGAGACAGGGGCGAAAGAGGGCAATCATTCCAGTGGGGTAATACATAACGAGCACTATAGAATATTTGGCTATGATTTTTCTCTCTTACCAGATTGAAGGTGTTTAGAGACACACTTCAGGCTCCAGGCCTAATAAGTCAGCTAAGCGACAGCGACATATTCGTGTAATTGCTCTAAGTGCTGATCTGAAATCAGAAGATGCCAAACCATGGCCGACAGGCCCGCTATGCTCAATACGCTATTAGGAGAAACCCCCTTGGGTACCTCTCAGGAAAAAGAAATATATACATATAATTTTTTAAAATAATTTTCACATATGTGCATACACATACACAGTCCAACTTTCACGTCAGTGTTTCAACATGCGGTAAATACATACAATCATCTTAAACAGAACAGGGCTTTGTGTAGCCTCCTCTGCGCTCACACACCAACACACATACACGTGCATCCCTTTAATGATAACTAATGAGTGATTAGGGCACACCATTTGATCTTTACACCCTTGTGGATCCCCAGGTCCTAGCCAAGAAAGATGGGCTCTGGGTAATTTCCATAAAAATCAGGAAAGAACTTCCCAGAGGGTCTACCCTGGATCTATTTGGAGCTGAAAGGTTGCAAGCTTGCCTTTCCTTAACCATAGATAATTACCGGAAAAATATTCGTTAACTCAGGGTTGGAGAGTTCTGGATATAGATCCTGATTCTGACTCTCATCTGTTGTGTCTGTTCATCCAGAGGCACTGTGTTCATTTACTTATCCGTCAAATGGTTATTTTACAGAAGAAAAAGGGGAAAGTTCTGGTACAAGTGCTCAGGGGAAAAAAGATTCCCTGCTGATACAAGACATTCAGTAAAGAAAACATTGTCCTTGCTTCAGGAAATGAGGTGTCTTTATTTAAAGGTACTTATGATCCATAAATTATGAATTCATTGTTAATACCTCAATTTCTAAGCCCAAACAAAGTAGGGATTTATACAATTGTCGAAGAGTTCTTAACAGCTTTTCCTACATGGCCCAGAAGGGGAAAGTAACTCTAAAAGAAATGTAACTCATTTAATGAGATGATTATTTTATTATAGTTTCAAACTAGTGAATTGCTGTAATTTAGTTGACTAAGAATCTGAACCATCGAAGCTGAAAAATTGGGAAAGATGGCAAAATGCCTCATCATTTATCAAACCTGAAACATGGAATAAACATGTCATTAACATATGCAAAGATGTAATTATTTTCTAAATTAAGCATCTCTAAGTGTATAGTTTAATTCAAATTATAGAGTGGTAGAAAAAAATCAGATTCCAGATGGATATTTGTTTCAAGTCACTACTCTTCTAAGCTGCTTTTGTACAAAAAGAGGTGATTTTGTTTCTATTTTTTGAGTCATAAATGTCAAAATACTGTCAGAAGTACTGTCCTTAGATTTAAATTTATAATACTGGCCAGCCAATGGCTATGAACCTGATCTGTATACAAATAACTCAGCAAAGCTTTAATGTTCAATTTTAGTCCCAAAGAAATGGCAAAGCGTCTTCACTGTGTTTGAGTGTTCTAACATGATTGTACTGAGCCATATCTTTGTTCCTATGAGCAAACATCGTAAGAAAAATATTATTTCTTTCAGTGCAAAGTGCTGTATATTAAAGCCAAAAGATGAAGAGAACTTAGGCCAACATGTAAGATATAATATGGATAATGTTGAACAAATGTATGAATTAAATGACTTCCTTTATGTGCACTCAGGTGGTTAAGTGTGTGGGATGGTGGCAGAAGGTGGGGACCAGGTAAAAGGCAGGTTTTCAAGACAGTCCTCAAGCACGGTCAAGGTGGATTCCTGGAGGTACAGGAATTAAGGCAGAGAAAGGCTTAAAGAAAACAGAAATAATAAATCCCAGGATAGAGGTGGTATTAAATGAAGAAGAAGTGGGGAATGAGCTGAGGGATGGGAAAGTGAGGTGGTGAGCAGCAGAGGTCATCGAGACCAGCCTGAAACATCCTGGGACAACTTCTAAGCCTAGAGAAGTGCTGATGGGAAGATCTCCTGAAAGAGCTGGCAGCTGCCATGTTTGGTGGGGTGATGGAAATAGAAGCAGGCCCACCGGCTTATCTTGCCATCCGTGAGTTTGGACACAGGAGGACAGCAGATCTCTTTCCTTTTGGATTCATGGAAAGGATGCACTTGTGAGTCAGGGAAAGGCTCTGAGCCATGGAAGGTTCTCTATCTCTGTTTCCCAGTGTGGTAGCCACTTGCCACATGTGACTATTAAACTATTCAACTTGCAAGGTGGCAAATCTGAATTGAGATGTGCTGTGAGGTTAAAATACACTCTGGATTTTGAAAACTTCATGTAAAAGTGTAGAATGTCTGAACTACTTTTATATCAATTACGTATTGAATTATTTCTATTTTGGAGATGTAGCGTTAAATAAAATATGTTAGGAGAATTAATTTTGCCTGTTTCTTTTTACTTCTCAGAATATGACTATTAGAAAGTTTTCAATGACATGAGCAGCTTGCATATTTGTTGGACAGTGCTGTTCTAACCCTGTAATAGCTCCTTTGGTTTGAGATCACTTTGGTGCCAAAGGCACCAGAACCACAGAATGTTAGACCTGGGAGGGAATTTAGAGCTTATCTAGGCCAGTGGTTTTCAAACTGTGTTAGGATGAGTCACAGGGAGAAGGGACGCCAGTGCAAGTGGGGGTGATTGAGGGGGGAGCAGCCTTGAGCTGGTGAAGCTCTCAGACCACAGTGTCATCCCCACCCCTCCACACTCGAGATAGAAGCAGTTGACTCCTGAGACTCCGAAGAGAGATTTCATTTGAAGAAAGGATTCTGGTTCATTTTTCGTTCTGTTTTGTTTTTGAATTCTGGCCCATCATTTTATTTCTAAGGCAATTTGAGTCCCAGAGAATGGAGATGGCATGGCCAATGTCATGCTTGGCCTCAGGACTTAACCTCAGACCTCATTTCCAAGTCTAGCCTGGCAGGAGAGGAGGTGACTGACTGGTTGGAGGAATTAATAAACTCGCAGTCTCAACCAAGGCAAGCAGATCCCCCTTCAAGCCAGTGAGCTTTTCCTCTCCTTCCGCTCACCCTACACTTGTGACCTCACGGACGCCTGCTGCTCTTTGTCCAAAGAGAATTCTGTCTGGGCCTGAGCATTGACACAAACTTATTTTCTTTATGAAAATAACAAAAAACTAAATCACTAGCCACAGGTCTCCAGTAACGCCTTGCTCTGCAGTGGATGACCTCTTGTTATTATGTGTTGCTACATCAAAGACTGGTAATATTTTCCC